TCTCTATATATACATATAACATTTAAATATTATTGTTGGAATAATATGTGTATTTGCATAAAAATATAATATATATAAAATTTAAGTAAATACCAAAACATTTTAAACAAATAATATAGCTTAGATATCTCTAAAAGCTAAAAAATACTTTTTTTATATTCTAAATTGTATAAAACAAATTTTATTATTTATAATATTAACAATATTATTCGTTTTAATAAAAAAATTTAAAATAAAAATTGATTTAAGGAATAATTACCTGTTATTATTCGAAGAATAAGCACTGTTCTTTTTCATATATAAGTGGTATTACTAAATTATCCTGTCGTTTCATATAGAATATATTCAAGCTTTCATTGATTAATTAATCAAGAATTAAGAAAACAATTCACCAAATAATATCTTGCAATTCTTCTGGCCATATATGTACACAATATGTATACATATTTTTGCACGTACGGATTATCAGTATATATTTTATTTTATCGAAAGGGAGAAGTGATTTTCATGATTATTTACGAACGCGAATGCTGCGCAAAGATCATCGCATTAATAAATCCTTTCAAATCACAATATTATAAATCGTGCTCGATTACAAGGTAAGTTGCAGATGAGATCATGGATAATCTCACGCGCATCAGCACGTATCTGAGTTGTCGATCATTATCGGCCAACAATTGCCAATGTTGTTTGATTCCATCACGATCTGCGTGCCAAATCTGAATACGATGATAACAGTCTTCGGGGTATATGAAGCAGCCTATTGCCACTAGAATCATCGAGTTCCCATTGAAACTCATCATGGCGAATACGTGCAACATATTTGCGGCTTTTGCTGTTGCCTTCCTGGCATCCTTGTCTCTGAGTTCAGCTTTCGTGAATCAAGACTTTGATATACCTCAAGACTTTCAAAAGAATTCTGATCTAGAGCTACAACCGTTTTATCGACAAAAAAGGGAAGAGAATGCTTATCTCGTGAAAAAGCATGACTCTTTGGAGTTGGAAGAATTATCAGAATCTCAAACCGTCCACGATAGAAGGGCGACCGCGGAAGAAACAAAGAAGTTTACGGATGACAGGAAGAATAATACTGAAGAAGATGCTAAGGTAAAAATTAAAATACATACATTATTTGTAATTGGGAATCCAAGAACGAGAAAATCAAAACATAAATGTATAAAAAAAAAAAAAAAAAATTTATCTGATATCCTTTCTTTCTCTTTCCTCAGGATGATATACTTTCGTACAAGAGTATGCACGATCTCATCCAAGCATTCATTCTCGCGGATGAGCAAGATATTGCTATGAGACTGCAACAATTGCGAGAAATAGAGGTAATTGATCATTAAAAATCACAATACAATACATAGAACTTTAATTGTGGAATTCATTAAATTCAGCACACAGACACACAAACTATTTAGAAAACATATAATTATCTACATATAAACAGTGAAAAAAAAAAAGTTATTTTCCATGGTACTTTCAATCAGTCTCAGTTCTTTAAAATCTATTTGTATAAAAATTCTTTAGTATTCAAAATTTAGTAATACACAAAAAAGAATTAACTTAAAAATATAATTTTTCGGATAGAGAAGTGTTTTAAAATAATATTAATAATAAAATGTTTTATAGAAGAATATATTAATAATAAAATTTTTTAAAATATTAATAAAATTTTTCATAATGATATTCAACTAAAAATAACATTTTTTTCTGATGTACAATAATTGATTTGTAACATAGTTAGGTATAATATGCCCAATATATTTCTGCAACAGAAATTCGATTAAAATATCCAAAACAACAATTCTTCTTATTTTCTACATAATTACGATTGATCAAAAGTAAGGCATGCTACAATTAAAATTAGCGACATTTTTTGCAGAATGCCACGGAATCTGAGAAACTTAGCAATTTATCGAAACGTCAAGCATCCGCATCCGCAGCTGCAGCCGCAGCCGCAGCTAGCAATCTCCTGGGAGCGAATTTGTGGGAACCTGTTCCTCTGACCGATCTGGATGCTCATTCTTGTGAAGCTGAAGCCGGCGAATACGGTCACGTGCATTTGTCAGGTCTGGTCGTGCACGAGTTCTTCTGCGAACTGAGAAAATTCTGGCACTATTTCTTGATTATTGTACGAAACTTAAGAGAGGGACTTACCTTGGGACCACTGATCGCCGAGGGAGTCATCGAAGGCGGTCACGGCATTTTGAACCTCTTGTTCCATCATACCCCGCGATTTCTCCACACCGTCATCAGAGAGCCCCATCACCTGCTGATTTTGCCCGACATAATCCGAGACGCCATACCGTTCCATAGCGTTATACACGCTATTCACCGACTCGTACATGTCGCCCTCAAGGTGGTGCACTTTGTGCGCGAACTGCTCTGGGTACATATTAGGCACTTTATCGGACACTTCTTCCACTTACATCATATTGGTTTGCATCTAAGGGAGAGACTGCACGACTATGGACTAGCAAAATTGCATCACTTGTATGGATACGGTTCGATGGGTCCGTGTGAAGAGGAGATTGTCGGTGGACCGGTTGTATCCACGGCGACATCCGCAGCGGCAGCGGCGTCGGCGACAGCAACAGTCGCTGACAATGGCGCGATGTTTGCCCCAGACTATCACAACTCGCTAGCGGAAGTGTTATCTTCTTTCCGTGGCATCTATGATGGCTACCACGCATCTGGAATACCTCATCTAGTCAGAACTGGCTTGCAGAGCATCTCCACATCCTCGGTGTACACTAAAATAACTTCGTATTTGTCCAATGTGCCATCATATTTGACTAATGTAGGTTCGTATCTGTCCAACAAACCAAATCTGAATTTCGGTAGCGGTTCTACGCTGCTTGAACAAGGTCCAATAGTAGGCCCGGCAATCGCCCCTGTTGAAACCGTGAGTTCTTCGGCATCCGCCAGCGCTACCGTTACTGAAACACAACCAATGTTTTCCGCCGCACCCCTGATTTCCGCGGTACCAAACATAGTCTCTTCGGTGCCGTTTGTTCCCTCTTCCGGTGCTGCAAGCGCAGCGGCCACAGCGGCAGCGGCATCGGCAGCGGCGGCGGCATCAGCAGCATCAGCATCACCGGTGGTATCCAGCTACCGAATCGCCCCGCGAGTTTACGCTCCAGTTGAGGTCGAGGAATCCGCTGTGCCTTGCGCACCTGTCATCGAACCCGCCCTATCATCAGGAGTCATTTCGGAAACCATTGAAAACACGGTATCCGAGAGTAGTTCCTCGAGCGTATCTGTGGCTTCGCCAGAAGTCGCTGTATCAGGTATCCCACTGGAAAATACTGCAGCGGCTGCTTCCGCTTCCGCGTCCGCCTCTTCAGCTTCGGACGTCAGCCCAGTGATCAGTGCTGCTCCAGGGCCGTTCAGCCTGCCTTACTCGCTAAACAGATACAATTCCAGGCCCATCTTGTCCGCTGTCAAACCCGCAAGCACCGCGTCCGCCTCCAGCAGCGCGTCGGTCTCTTCGGGCGGCAACTTGATCGAGCCGGGTCAATATAGAGGACTCGACTTGAATCTCGGCGGCAGAATTCCGCTCAGATCCCGAATTCTCCCTACAGCTCTTCATTCTGTAGCCCCTTCGTCGGCTGCCGCCGCAGCATCATCGGTTTCCGGAGGTGCCGCCGCTGCTAGCTCGGCCAGCTCTGTCTCGGGCGGCCTCAATTTTGTCTTGCCCAGGCAGCATATCATCGGCGCACTAGGTCATGACTATCTGACACCGGGCGATCTTATATCGATTGCCCTGAGGAATAAGGCGATCCTGGTAGGCCGCGTACTGGACGGTGATAGTCCGATCAATTTCAGCTTCCTCAGACCGAGTTTGCGCGCTTCCCTTCTCCGTCATGGTGGACGTGTCTGGAATCTCTCACCCCGGGACTTCCGAGATCCCGAATGCGTCCGTAGACTTAATAGTCCTTTTCTGTTGCGTCATGCCCTTTAGATTTTATACATTATATATTTCATAACTAGTCCTAAATCATTATCAACTATCGACATGTATATACCAAATAATTGTAATCGATCGATTCCGAATAAAGATGTATTCTGAAATTGATTGCGTTAGTATTTTCATAATCCTATCTTAATGCTATTATGTTTTCTTCCTCTTAATATTACGCTTAGTATATCACGATTCATAAATTTGCATTGTGTGCAAAACAGCTGATTTTCGACGTTGCTTACTTTCTTTTTATTTGTATTGAGACACTTGCGAGAATTTTTAGTTAAATCAGATGGAAACACATTTTATGTTTACTTTGCAACTTGTAAAAAATATTGGCATATGTGTAGCGTGTATGTTTGCACAAATGTAGTGAAATCATATATGGACATGTGAAGAATCATATGCAATCATTCTAGATAAAAAATTTTTAGTCCTAGTTATTTCAATAGCACGTAGAGTAAATTAAAAAATAATCTATCGTAACTTGACTTATATGATATGTTCAAACGTCGTGATTCATTTTGTATTTAGAATTGTATGATTAATTAATTGATCTATTAGAAACAGAACATTTGCAAATATTTTTCTTAGATTTAAAATTAGAGAAGAGAAAAAGAAAAAGAAAAAAAAAGAGAGTTCATAACATAATTCATAAATCATATGGATAGGCAGATATAATGCAAAAAAGTATCTATTTTTCAAAATTATATATTTAAATTGCTAACATGCTTTTTCTTTTTAATAATTAAGAATAGAACAATATATAGTTTTACCCTCCCTCATTTTATAGCTCTGATATTAATACAAGATGAATTTATTGTTATAGTATATGATTTTGAAAATATTTTCTCTCTTTTTTAATCTAAAAATATGAATAAAAAGAAATTAGGTTTTGTTCTTATTATGTATATATTTACTGAAATAAATTTTACTTACTAGAATAAATATTCAGATAATGATGCAAAATATTACATTATCTCAGATGCACAATAATAGATTATAATGTTTTTATTAAACTATGCTATTATAAATTTGTAAGTATATTAGAAATTATCAGAGTTGGATAAATTAATTTTTTTAAAAGTAAGTTAAGTTTAAAGTTAATGATCCAAAAATTAACTAAGTGAAAGTTAAGCTAAAAAATTATTAACTCATTAAAATTAAAAGTTAATTCTTTATCCAACAGCAAATCGACACATCCGACAAACTTGTTGTGCGACAAATGAAATATTTGCATTACGATCAACCATTTTCATATGACTTTAATATTGATAAATTATTTTAATTTGTATAAAAAATATTAATAAGTTAACCTTAATACATTTAAGAATAACTAGTTTAAGTTAAAAGTCAACACGTTTAAAATTAATTAAGTTAAGTTAAAAGTTATTACATTTTCAACTTTTTAACTTAACTTTTAAGTGTTTAACTAGTTATTATCCAAACCTGGAAATTATGCATCTTACACAGATAATGCATATATATATAATTGTATCATATACTTTATTAGGCAATTGTTAATTTGTTTTCGCAAGCAAGCTTGTAGAAAAATTCGCTGACAAATTATCGTAACGAAGCCAACGGTATGACACGAGAATGAGAAAAGAAAACAAGAAAAAAGAAAAAGAAAAAGAAATAGCTAATTTGCCTTAATGATTACCACTTGTTCTAGAATATCTTCATAATAACAAAATAAATATAAAAATGAATTGTATTATTTCAATATGTATTATCGTCGGTTTGGTAAATCATATGCTCTGAAAGATTATCAAATTTCGAAAAATTTATTGGATTACGGCATTAAGCAAGTCATGGCAGAAATTTTGAGTATACTGGGATATTAAGATAAAATAAAAGAAATTCAAATTCCGACTTTTTCTTTATTCACTTACATTATTGATCATTGATCAAAACAAAATAAGAAATCCTCAAAAGATATTTTAATCGCGAAATATCTGAGGATATTGAGTATATTTTAAGATGTATCGTCAATCTATTAAGAAATATTAAAAAAGGTTATTAATTTTTTTCAGACACACAAATAACGAATAAGCCATGCTATTTCTTTATATATCTAAATGTGTGCATTGTCAAAACTAACACATTCAGTCATATTTTCATTTTAGTTATTTAATTATAAAATAATTTATTATTAAAAGGCAGGCTAATTAACACAATAAAATGTATTTATAGATTTGAATAAAAATTTCTGCATTATCTATAGATTTTGGGGAGTAGTAAATAATATAATATGTCACTTCAGAATATTATTTAAGATAAAACATTTCTGATAATTTCTCTCTCTCTCTCTTCCCTCTTTTTCTCCTTCTTTTTTGTTTCATTATAATAATCAATGATATAGATAATAAAAAATTAAAACTTTAATATTTTCCCCTTTATCTTACTGGATATTTTTTTATTTAAGCTGAAATCAACTTGAAGCAGACATAATTGTAGCACCAAAAAACAATATCAAAGAGATCTATAATCTGTTAAAAAGTTGTCAGAAATTAATTACGGTTGCATGAATACGCGTAAAATTTATCATGTGTATTACAAGTGTGTATTTTACGTGTGTATTATAAATGTGTATTACATGTGTATTATAAGTGTTGTCCTTGTTTTTCTCTGCAAATTATGTGAAAAAGGTAAGAAAAATCGATCGAAATAACAAAGCAGATACCTCATAACATAAATTGATATATAATAATTATATATTAAAAGAAAAAATATATACCTTTATAACTAATTGAATTTGTAACTAATTCATCGTGATTTATGATATTTATAATTATATTGTAATATAAAAATTCAACCTTACTGATTAAATAAAATGACACAACAATAATAAATTTATACTCATAGTTTTAATACAAAAATCTTCTAAATTTTGCATAAACACTCAAAAATTTATTAATATTACGAGTAATAATTAAAGTTAAAGCAAATATGCTTAATGAGTTAAGAAGAGTAATTAATTTTTTATCAATATAAAGAACTGTTGTTATGTCAAGTTATGATGTTATGACGTCTGACATGATTTTGTCGAATCAATAATTAATCATTTCAATTCATCATGTACCATTATCACATACGTAAAAGAACGCTATATTTAACAAAGTTAGCGCAGGTGTGCCATATCAAATAATGCGTCGGCAAGTGATAGCTAGAATAAAACCTTGGGCACCTTGCAACAGATACAATAAACAAATTTCGGCTAATATATAAGCATATTCGTTTCAGAGATCGTTACTGTGGATCAGTCTTGATCTTCTTGGACGGACCTGGATTCTCTATCTTTTTGAATCATACAATTATTTTTCCGAACTACGATGGCACGCGTTCTCCTTCTAGTGACAGTGCTGGCAGTTCTGGGTTACATGAGCCAGGTAAGTTATTATCCAAAGATAATTATTCAAAAGATATTTTAATAAATAGCGAAATTTATAGTCCATTAAATAACAATTGCTAATTACGTCAAATGTTGCAAAATGTTAAAGGAAAGCTAAAATATCAATCGCCTATTATAGTATATACGTGAAAACAATATAAAACAATAATTATGATTAATAAATAAATTTTGGTCTTTGCAAATTTTGGGTCTAAACGTGTGACTAATATATTCTTAATATAAAATGTATATAATTTTAATGCTTAAATAACATTAATACATTATTCCTAACATTTAATGTACCATTTTCTTTTGCTTATTATATTACGCTCCAAATTTTATAATATATAATTTATAATTGCAATATAATAATGCTCTACATAATGCTTTATTCTATATCATAAAATATAAATAATTGTTGTTATTTTACTAATCACTTGTCAGGCCACCCCAGTACCAGAAAATGTGGAAAAGTTTGAAAATAAAATCAAAGAACACGAAAAGCTTAAGGAAAACGACTTTCTCAGAGAACATGTAGAGAAAGCTGAACAAATGATAGAAAACAAATTCCAAAAAGTAAATACAATTCTCGAGAGATTTCTTGAAAAAACGCAAAAAGGAGCCATGCAAAATTTACAATATGCTCTGACTGCTGGAATTGAAAACGCCGTCCAAGAAATCGCTGATGAAAAATTAAACGAGGTGTTGAAAGAGCTATTCAAGCTAGCAGTTTCAATAATCAAGAAAGAGATCTTACGGGATCTCGAGGCTGTAAAAAACTTCTTGGAAATGGGTGACAAGCTCTTAAAAGAAAATTTGGAGAAGTTAAGTGAGATTTTGGGGAAAGTAACAAATAAGTTCAATGAATATCTCAATCTTGTTAAAGAGAAAATGTTGGAGAAAGTCGGAAAACTGCAAGAAAGGGTGAAGCATGTAGTTAATGTAGTGAAAGAGAAACTAGAAAACGTAATCGGTGAAGGTAAAGAGAAGTTAATTAAGTCACTCAACGATCTAATAACGAAAACGGATGAATTGGTTAAACATGTTAAAAATATCGTAAACGACGGTCTCGGTAAGGTAAAAGATGCAATAAAGGATATGACAAAAGACATCATTGGGAAAGCCAAGGACGCTGCTGAAAAAGGTATAAAGGATGTAGAAAAACTCGTCGAGGGAACAGCGAACGAGATCGATGACAATTTAAAAAATATAGGGAACTCTGTTAAGGAGATAGGTAAAAAAAACGGACTCATCGGGGGAGTGAGCGACGGCGTTAATAAGATAACGAAAGACGTCGGAGGCTTCGTAGAAGAAACGGGAGACGCTCTTAAGAATTTCGGTAAAGGCTTTCTACCGAAAAGCAAAAAAGATTGATGAAATAATGGAAAATATAACTCAAGATGCCAAGGATACATTCAACAATTTGACAGACTAATCACATACATACACACACACACATACACAGTCATAGTATAAAAAATATAATTTAAAATATATATTCAATCAAAATTAATGTTAGATTGATACAATATACATATTTTTTCAAATATTGTTCGGATAGTTTCTAACAGTTAGGCATTTTACCGAGCCAAAATTAAGACTAAAAATAAAATCCGCAACATATATCATGTTGTTTAGGTTTTAAATGGCGTCTTCATCTTAACATCTTCATTCAAAATTATGTTATGTTTATTAAAATTAGTACTTACTAAAAAAAAAAAAAAATGAAAAACATGTATGCGTTAACATTGTAATGAGATTGATTTTTATCTCGGCGTGTATTGCAAAAAGTTTAATAAAATAAAGAAGATTCTATTATACATATGTTTTATAAATGGAATTATATTTTACACTCTCACTCCACATTATATTATATAATATGTATAATATCGAAAACTATAAGCATTTACAATTTTAAATTGTTTCATAAGTTGCATATCGTTATTAGATATTCATATATGAGAGAAAAAAATAGGAAAAAAGCATTAATTGCTGCAATATTTCGTAAATATTTCGTGAGAATTGTATCAGTTAAATTAAAGCTTCCAATAATCGACGATTAAGTAAATAACTTGCCATATCACTAAAAGGTTACACAAGCACTGCTTTACTCAGAATATGCAAGTGTGTTTGCATAAATATTACATAAGAGTCGTGAATAAAATAAATATCTTCGCGATGTTAAGAACTTAAAGAGAGTTAACTTTCGTGTGTGCATATATTTTTCCTTAAATATATCTCATTTATATATATCGATAAATATTATATTTTTTAAAAATATATTAGCACAATTTTGTAAGTGCCTCTTACGAAGAAACAAATTATCTTTCTGATACTAACAATAACAAAAAAATAAAATGAAATTTAAATTTCTGATTATGATTATTTGAAGAGTTCGATTTTATATTGAATAGAACTGATATTTCTTTTAATTCAATTAATTTTTAGATAAATAAGCAATTTACAATACAAGTGCAATAATTAAATCTGATATATCACTTATATATCATATAGGAAAGTTAAATATAAGATGTCGGATAAACAACGTTTGAAAAAATGTATAATCTCTGCCCTGTGCTTTCAAAAAGTGCGAACCGTCATTGCGGAGTCAGCAACTCATATGTGTCATATGCGCACGCGCGCGCGCGCACACACACACACACACACACACACATATGTACATTCGCTAAAGCATATCTTTATCTGGCTGATGTAATGTCTCACAGAGCGCGAGGAATGAATGCCAACTGAAACTGATAATAATTTTGATCTTCCCTTGAACCTTGATCTTTTCATGGCACTGTCCAAAATCAGTCATCGATTTGTTTCGAATCATGTTAGAGAAAATTTACTGTAAGCTGCATTTAAATAACTGCATTTAATAAACATCTTAACAAAATTATAACAAATCATCACAAAATCATAACAAAAAAAATCAGACAACCAAATTAAATTAAAAATCTCAATTATTATATAAAGTTTTTAGCCAGCAAAAAGATATAAGAATAAAAAATGTAAATAAGACGTCATGAGAATGTTGAATTTAAGCATAATTTCGCATTAGAAGGATGAAATATTTTTCTCAAATGGAATTTTTTTTCAAGATATTTTTTTTACACACGATGTTTTCTTTTAACCTTAAATATGTGAATTTAGTAAGCATTCCATCGGTAAAATGTTCCTTATCGCATGAACTTGTAGAAACTAGAAACGAGCCTGGATTAGAAGAAACGTTTAAAAGTTGACCAGATACTTGACTTGAAATTCCTGTTAGCGAATATCAAGAAATATCTTCAAATTACTCTGTGTCAACAATCCTGGTCCTATCTATTCTATGCTTTCTACATTTGCTGATTCATTCATATGTAATTGTTTTACATTCTAACAAGAAAGATTTAATTTTTTATTTGCAAACATAATCGTCTGCAAAGATTATTCTACTATTTTTGATCTGGAAGATAACCAAAATTTAGATACTATCATGAAACTTATTATATATTAATTATTAAAAAATTATTAGATATTAAAATGACAAACTAAAATTATCAATTATCATTATCAATTACAAACCTAGTTCTTATATATAGCATATCTTTAATAAATATTATGTAATAAGAGCATTACTTTTTCATAAATATTTTTATAGATTTTTATAAATTCTATTAAACAATTACTAAAACATATTGCGCTTATTGTATAATAATTATTAAATATTTATGCTTTAAAACATTAATTTTAATATGCATTTTTAACAAAAAATTTATTATTATTTAACGTGTATTTTTAGAAATATTTATGTACTGAACGCTAATTTAAAATTCTCAACATCTATAAAAAGTAATATTTATATTATTGTCACAATAAATAATGAAATAATGTGCGTTGTATGCAATAATAAAACTTTTTTTTTATTTATTTGCCTTTGCACAAGCAATAGGCACAAAAATATAATTATAAATAATTCTAAAACATTAAAATATTTGGACTCACTTTCACCTTTTTGTCCGAGCAATGTCGGACATGTTGGACCGAACATAAATTTAGATAGAAAATCTTTTTAGAAAAATGTAGCGTCGGAATGTAAAGAAAAATTTCAGGTCGTTGTCGTCGAAATAAGATACTAAGCACTTTGCCCTCTTCGATAAGAAACGCCTATAAAAGGGAGTGCGACGTCCATCTTATGCATTAGTCGTTTTCTGACCGACCAAGAAGAAAACACCAACGCGAAATGAAGTGCTTTGTCCCATTTATCCTAGCCCTCGTTTTGATCGCAGCTGAGGGCAAGGTTGTACCAGCCAGCGATGTCGAAAACCAGCAAACCGGCACTCAAACCTTTGAAGCGTCCTTAGCTGACAGCTTCAGGGAAGCCCAGAATACCATCAATACTCTGGGCGCTAAGGTCCAGGAACTTCTACCCAACCATGACGAATTTCTTAACACATTTAAGGAGCATAGTACCAGTTTAGCTAATAATGTCAATGAATACATCAAGAACATGACCGAAGAGGTGAGCAATACTAAAATAAACCTATAATATAAATATATTTTATTTGCTTTTCATGTTGAATACGTATTATTGTAACGTCATGATCATAAAGGTGAATGTTTAAACATTTAAAGCGCGACTTTGATACCTCGATTTAATTAAAATCGTTCGTTTAATAGATGTGTGTTACGCCTGTTCTTTACTTATGCATTCGCAATGCGTAGAGATTAAAGATTGACTTATTTGTTTGCAGTATCAACGCGCAACCTCGTCTACCTAGAGACGCATTTTCAAAATTAGAAATAAAAAGTCAACGCGTCATCTAATTCTGCACGTAGAGGATTATATATTTAAAAAAATTAGTAAGAGAAAAACTCGACTTATCGGTTCTAAATCAATCCACAAGAAATAGTTAATACAGATGAACGTATCAAAATAGATAATCATTAATTTACATGTAATTGTAATACAAAAGGAATTGTATAATGTAATTTATGTATCTACGTTCACAAAATATTAATGTCGATAAAACATTTTTCGATGTGTTAGACTTTTAAAAAATCATAATATTATTATAATGGACTGTAAACAAATAAAAACAATCATAAATAAATAATTAATTACTGACACGTTTCTTATTATTTTTCTACTTGCAGAATACAAGAATTTGTGCAGATCCTAAATATGCAACATTATTTTCTTCTTTTTTTTCTCTTTAGATTTTAGGATTATATCAATTAAAAATTATGTAACAAAATTATTCGCTACATTAAGATTGCTAAAGAATGATCTAAAGTCACGTATAGTTTATATTTGGGAAAAATACTGGCGTTCGCAATTCACTACAGCCGACTATGCATATTTAAAATTGCTTGAATGAGATATCACGGTCGAAGGTTAACGAATCAAGTAATTCAGACAACAAAAATAACGAAAACAGGAAATTTAGCATTTTGTTATCTCGACTTTCTTTTACATATTTTGTTTGTGCTATTATAATTTCTACTAGAAATTAAACGAGTTATGATATAAATATGCATTTTTGCGTTATCCATCTATATTTGCGTATCTTCATCAATATTTATTTTGGCAAAATTTTCAAATATCTTTCAATATCATTAATCATTTTTTTTTTAGTTAGTCTTTTAAAATCTGAAATATGTCTAGCTATACGCATGACGAATCGTTTCTAGGTCAAGGCCAAGAGCCCGGAGTTGGAAAATCTCTGGACGAACTTGAAGACTAAACTGTCCGAAGCTGTCGACAAACTGAACGTTAATCAGGAGACCACAGACCAGATTAATCAGTTGGGTACTAAGTTCCAGGAAGGGGTTCAAGCCATTCTAACAGAGTCCGAGAATTCCGCCAAGACTATCAGCGAGAACTCCGCAAAAGTGCAAGAGGGTATCGCCAAGTTGACCAAGCAGGCAATAGATATTGCCGTGCAGGCTTCTCAGAACTTGAACAATCAATTGAAGCAGGCAACGCCGCAACCGTAAAATGAAATAGTGTATTATTCGCGTGCGAACATCTTGAACTAACATATACGGCGAAATCGAATTTTCACTCAACCAACATAATTTCACATTATATCATGAACTATAGCTAACAAATGATTATTAATAAAAGCACTTGAAATCATTTATCCTTTTGTTTGCTTCTTTAAAACCTATACTGTTATTATGCATTACTGCACGGGAAAAAAAATTAATTGGGTTTATTAAAACAACTATCTAGATATTTGGTCCAATAAAAATATCATTGAATGAATTATGTATGTTTGTGGCAGCCCGTGACGTAGACTTTAATTGAAACAACAGCATTTTTTTTCCATGTGAGATAAGATTTTTAGTTTTACGATTTAATCTTATCTTGTAAATTTTTACGATTCTCACATTAAAGTTATTTGACATTGCCACGATGCTTTTATTTTTTATTTTATAAATCATGTTGCATTTTGTATAATTATATATAAATAATATAACATCGAGATTAATATAAATATTAATTAATGAGATTTTTTAGTATCAAAATTATCTAATTACGTATTTAATTAACATGCAGCAAATAAATTAGCGGAATCTTGTATTATCTCTCTAATTTGAGAAAAACATTAACAATCTTATTCTTCAGAAGAGAAGTCATCGATATCCCGATGATAAATGTTGATTGGCCGTACGACTCTTAACTTCGAGTTAGTCGGTTTCATCCATGAGGTATGCGGGAACCATTGATCAATGGATGAAATAGTTTTGACGACTGCACCCATTACTTTTGAAGTCATATAGCTTATAGGTTTAAAGCTGCTTCTTTCTGAGAGTTTAATCGGTATAGCGTAGGTATTGGTAGGTGCAAATGACGACTTGAAAAACAGAGAAAAAAAATAAAGAAAGTTACAATAAATATCATATTAAATAATAACAAATAGAATAGAGAGAAATATGAAATCATTATAGTATTACCATAGAAAAATTTATGTTGGAAATTGCAATTATACTACAAATAATAAATTTTCTAATTTTACTGATAAATTTACTAACTGCAATGCACATACTAAATTTATATACTTACTGCATTAATCGTTAATAACAATATAGTAGCGTAAATATAAGATGAAAAGTAATATCCATGAATTGTGTGGAGACTCATAATTCACTCTACACCAACTTTATTAACGTGAATACGAAACTTCGGTAACATGAAAATGAGCCAGCATAAAAATAATTTCCTGAATGACCGCCGCTGCGCGTGTCGTGATGTTTATCGAATTTCTTACACACCGCATGTATATTTAAAAATTCTCGGCAATTATATATGATTTTATTGATGTTGAGGAATAGCTTCCGCATTCAAACAAGACCATTGAAAGTACACACAGAAAAATATTATTCTATTGCTAAGTAAAATGATTACTTAGTTTACTTTACTTCTTTTAAGTAACAGTTATCTTTAACAAAGAATATTTTCTTAATAATAGTCTTAAAATAGACTTGTCACAAATTTTAGAAATACTCATTATCATGTACTCAAAAAAAGTAAATATTTTCTTTTGAAGAATATTGGTACACACAGAAAAATATTATTCTATTGCTAAGTAAAATGATTACTCAGTTTACTTTACTTCTTTTAAGTAACAGTTATCTTTAACAAAGAATATTTTCTTAATAATAGTCTTAAAATAGACTTGTCACAAATTTTAGAAATACTCATTATCATGTACTCAAAAAAAGTAAATATTTTCTTTTGAAGAATATTATAAAATTTTATCGAAGAAAAATCAGATATGGTTAATTTAATGTAAGAAAATTTATTAGATCAGAAAAATTTAATGTATTTCTTTCAATTATATAATTTAATATTCTTGATTGAAATATTATATTTATTAGGATTCAAAATATATTTTGAATAAATTTGATGTTTATGATGAACTTATGATAGATTTGCGAATATATGAACTTATGGAATACTTGAAACAAGTAATATTTGCTTGTATATAGTATGTATTTTTCTGTGTGTATGTACAGTCGATATCATACTTCAGAAATCATTCTACGTGATATAATCTTAAATTAACAAATTAATAAAGTTAAAACACAGAGATTGATAATTTTTTTTAGAAAATAGATATATATTTTGTTATAAATACAAATATTTGAATAATACAAAAAATAATCTTCCTTCAAACTCATCAGTATTTAAATTCCAAATATTTAATTATAATTAATTATTTAACAATTATAATATTAATCTAAAATATTTTAAAAAATAAAGTAAAATAATTTTTTTTAATTTATGTATATGAAAATGATATGATGATGATAAAATGATGATGACTTTATGGAATTTTAAGGGTTAATAAGCAAAAAAATTAATAAGAATTAGAATAAGAAACCATGTCTCTGCGATGTAATGCAGTCAATCCGAGAATCATTATTGTTTAATCACGTCATTAAATTTAGTAATAGGTGACAACAAAGCAAGTGATTATACGCAATCAGCGGATTCCGCTTTGATTTCATATTGCTAACGTAAGTCGATGAAATTTATTTACAAGAAAAATTCTTCAATTCGATATGACCTAAATCCGTATGTTATTAAATATTTATCATTTTCAACTAACAAAGCATTCTACAACATTTAATGAGTATAAAATTAATTATATTCATTCTAATGAGACCATTCTAGTAAAATTAAATATTTTATTTGTGGTATAAATTTAATTTTAAAATACAAAAATATTAATAAAATGGGAAATATTTTGTCCTCCCACGCAATATTGCTGGGTAGTATATGCGCACATACTTGTCTCGTATAAAAGGATGGAAATTTTGCCAAATCGTTCCATTGTTGGTTAGACTCGGTATTGGATCAATAAGAGTGTGTAAATTTTATTCTTATCAATTTTCATTTTTGTAAAGTACAAAAATTTATAAAATATGGAAATTAGCCAGATGAGTGCATGTTTGGTTAAAATAAATATATTTTTTCTAATTTTTGTTATATGCATGGTAAGACTAAGTAAAGTAAAACAATATATACATGCATACATATATATACAGTATATATGTGTGTGTGTATGTACGTGTATGTGTGTGTGTAAAGTCTTTTAAAATAACAAAGAAAATTATTTTAAAATTAATAAGATTATATATAATAGTGTTAATGTTATTAGGTATAATAATATATTATTTGTCTAATGAAAACTTTGTTAAACAGATATTATTTGCAAACGCTGCTGCAATTTCGCAAGAGAATAAAGCTGAAAAACTGTCCGCAAGATCATTAAAAAAAGACTCTCAATTCCAAAGATCTATGTCGGATATTGAAAGATCCGAAAGAATAAATCGTGGATTTGAGAGAATAATTGAATTTGTCAATGTTTTGGGTCAAATGGACAATTTTATTTATGACAGGACAAGGAATATTATTCGCAAGCTCAATGCGATTTACGACGTTGATGAAAATGAAAGATACCGCAGGTCTCGCTCCTAAATCATTCCAAAAAATAATTTCTTCATAATTAAAATAAAGAATCATAAAATCTTGCATTAATTTTTAAAAAATAAGTCATCGTACATTAATTAAATTGTTATAATTATTTATATCAACACATGTAGATTAATATATTATTTTTTAATTATTAATTGTGAATCTAGCAATACATTGGTTTTACTTTTAAATTATTTTTCTTGTTAATTTTTAATTTCTTTACCATATAATGTATTATTAATTATTGTACATATATATGTATTAATAAATAAATTTTTTTTATTATTTTATATTAAATCCATTATTAATAAAGCATATTCTAAATATAAATGTAAATCTATGTATTTATTGCAATAAGAAATTGTCAAATTAATAATAATAATTATATATTATTTATTCATACATACATAAATTGAAATAACTCCATTTAGAGCACATATCGCCATCTAGCGATTAATTATTAAACAATGTCGATTAAATTGATACACGATTGCTGATGTATTCGTTATATTGCACACTCTGGTGTATATACTAATATCGAACATTGATGTTCGATCGTGATTAATATCTTTGTTATTAATCGGTTACTTGTCCAATTTATTAATTTCAATATTCTCTCACATTTTATTAACTTCTATATGTAAAAGTTTTTTTATCTAATGTTATTAAATTTTATTAATTTTTTTCGGCATTAGAAGTATATCTATATATAACATTGCACCAATTTTGTGATGTTTTCAGATTTATACATTACATATTTATTTAGATTTCATCTAAATATCAGTCACAATTTTATCAAGATTATTAATTATTTGAGAAAATAAAGGTTTAAACAAATTGGCTTGCAGCTTAATATTAAATATAATTACACTACAATAATCAAAATTAATTGATTAATTACAAATATTTTCAAAATTGTGGAAAATCATTTCTTTTTGACAATTAATTATAAGATCATTGATTTTTTCCTATATATTGCCCTTATTTTTGTTAGCTGCTAGCTATATATAAGTACCAATTCATCCTAATGCACATCACATCTGATCATTTAAAATTGATCAAAAGTACCTATCTATAGTAGAGTACATACCTGAAGAGTACATATGAAAGCTTTCAAAAATTTCACCTTATCGGAGACCTTTGCAATTTAGAATTCAAAGAAATCCTCAAATAATGCGCTCAACAGTTTTATCTTTATAATATATGTGTCCTTGCGCGGTGTACAAATAAGGCGATAAAGACTTCTGTCCTCCTGTATGTTTGTCCTACAAGAAAATAATAGATATGTAGAAATTTTCTTTTTATTCAATATGCTATTCAGCGCATATATATCAATAAAATTGCAAATCTATCGTATAATAATACATTATTTATGTGTTTAACGTATTCTTCCACATCTGATATAAATTAAATTCGCCTTTCAAAATTTGATATAATCAATTCTCTTATTGAATAAGAGTCATTTAATTTTTTATATAATTATAAGTTGCACATACGACAAAAATTTTCTCTACCTGCATTTATATATTAATTGGTTATACGATAGAATTTTTCAAGCTAAAGACACACGCATACATACATATCAATTAAATTCAATCAATCATCACGCGTTTAATATATAAAGAATACAGCAATAATGGTTATATGTTCTTTATAATATATATCTTTGTATATATATATTCTTTATATTATACATGCGATTAATAAATTTTTTTTGTGCGCTATGTATTATACCGTTGAAAAAGTGATAAATTCCGATGAATGTTTCGTACATATTCGCTGCCACGCTAAAGAAACAGTATCTGATTTACGCGATAACCAAATTTCCGTCTTTTCCGGAAATAATACTTGATTCAGGTTAGCACAGTTTCCAAGGAATAAAACACGGACTTGTTTTAAAAGTAATATTCGATTATTCTTTTATAACGAAATTTTTGTCACTTGGTAAGCTGAGAATTTTTAAAAAAATAATTATCCTTCTTTCTAGAGTTAATAATAATTAGATTCGTTTTTCGAAAGTCGATCATACAACTTCGATATGACGTATTTCCGTTTACCTTACCCGCGTATAAAACTCGAACCGTTGCTTGGCGCGAGATTTCTTCAATAAATATTCAGCACAAGACTCATCTCATCGATTGTTCGAGTATCAATAATACGATTAAAAGAGACAAAAGTTTTCGAGCAGGTTCACACTTTTCCACACCTCAAAATATATAAAAATATGAATTGCTAAAGCAAACCCGCGTGAAGTGGCCTCTACCCAAACATTTCTTTATCCTGATTGGTCAATCGAACAGCGTTTACAACGTCAAGTGGAATGCATCCAAATGTTGTTTTACTTGCAGCATCGATAGTTGAATCCCTAAGGACATAGGCGTCGCGCAAACGTTCACCAGGTGGCGACTATATCTAAATAAGAGTCAGCGCGATCGGATTGAACATAGGCGACATATAGAATATATATGTTGCGAGGTTGCAAACCAGCCTGCCGTATAGTTCTCTACCACATGTTGATTAATTAAAACAACAAGGAGAGATAAAAACGCGCATTTTCGCGGACACCACCGCCGGTGCTTGGCACGCGTTGTTTGCGCGGATCCGTCAATCGTCACGTCTGTTTCTACTCCGAGCAAGTCCAAGTCCGTCAGATTCGCGAACGGCCGAGATCTCTGCACGCAACTTCTCACGTTCCCTCGAGAGGCACCCTTCGTCGTAGTGTTACGTCACGTACAGCCGTCGACAGTGATCGAGATTAACGATCGTGATAATCGGTTGTGAAGAGCCAGCTCGTTGTTTCGCTCGCTCACTCACCGTCACGTACATATATACGCGCGCGTTCGCCGTTTTTCCAGCGCGGGATTATTCCTCGCCATAGTAATCTCAGCGGCGATCAGCGTGCGTGACAGTGTCCCGCGCCTGTCAAACCGCGATCCAAGTTCGCGCAGCATCGAGTCCGATCGCCACTGCGCGTTGCATTTGCACGCCTTGCGTTTACTTCGCGATTTTGGCCTGTGTTTGCGTATAACCTAAAAGCCGTCGTGAATGTCGATAGTCCTTGCAATCCTCACGACTTCTTCCTCATTCACCGCTCGTCAAACGTTTCCCCGGATCCGCGAGAGACCTCTAAGCGTTGCCGAAGACGTCGCGTAAAAGCATCGCGAGTAAGCGAGAACACGCGCGACGCAACGGCAGCTGCGATTTGTCGTCCACGGGCGAGAAAACGGATTTTTTCGACGTCGAGCGGTTATCGGGAAAGTAGTCAAAATTCCGGTCCCTACTAAGAAACGAGAGGGCCTCCAACAAACCGGCGGCAGAAATCCACCAACGACTGGTGAGGAACCGTCAGGCAAAATGAATAGCAAGAGGAAGAATCGTACAAACAATAACAGGTACTGCCAATCTCTTGGCTCCCCTCGTCAAGATCATAATAGCAGGTATAATATTTATAACGTTACAACGTATCGACGACAAAAATAACGTTTTCTTTTGATCGACACGTTCTTCCAGATCTCCGCGGTCACGTGTGTCTCCTGCGGAGAGAAGTATTGTAGCAGAAGGAGTCTATAACAATGCTCATTTTATGCATGCAATTACTGGCCATGTTGGGAATGTAGTACAGGTATTACAGACATATGTGTATATATATATATATATATA